ACTTCCCCTTTTCTTTCCCCAACTGTCACCTAATTCTCCCTGAAACCAAAGCTTTCTCCTTAACATTTTCCATGAGCTAGTGGTGGCCACTGCCAGGTCACTGTTGCTCCTTTCTGTGAATCTTTTTCTTAGGTTTTTAACTATGAGACAAATTAGGAATGAAGATTCCAGTGAATAGCAGAGAGGCAGGAAATCAAGTATCATAAAACTCAGATTTAGGTCCAGTGACTCAAAGAAATAGAGGTTCCTAACTCTTATGACTATACTTGTGGGAATGGATCTCTCTCCCTAAATAAGTAAACTACTTTTACAGAAGTAGTTGTGATTGCACCACCGAATCATGCAATAGAATGAATTGTCCTTCCTGAACAACTGGCATCATCAAAATAAAGAGCAAATTCAAACTGCCATTATTGATGGCAATATGAGAAGTTAGAATAGGGAAGAAACCCAAATCCTGACATGTCTCATTTTAATCTTAATTCCATTTTTTGAGGTAGTACAGTTCATTGAAGGTAGGTACAAGATGAATACGAGTATAACTGAACCATTGCAGAAGTGCTTGAAACACTTCATTAAGTAAAGTGGAGCAATGATGTGCTACCATCTTTGTATCAGTATGGGCATAAATTTCTCTGACTCACTCGGGTACTCATGTACATGGAAAAACTTGAATTTCCTAATTGTTTCAGATCAGCAGGTTATCCTTTAGAGCTGTCAAAAAGCCTGGTGTGGAATTTAACTGCAGTTGCCCATGCAACTACTTGATTTTTCTCAGCCTTGTACCTTCATTCAAGAATCATACCCAAAGCACCATGTCTGCACACTAACAGTACTACGTGTCCCATGTACTCCGTGATCCCCATTAGGAGTCTCATTAATTTGTAAATTTGGGGGTCATACCTGTATGAATTTTTGTTACTCTGCAACATCAAAACCTGAAAGTTCCCATGGGTCAGTCAGTTTCTTGGGACCTTGCCTCCAAGTCTTACACTGGACTTTGATTTGCTAATCCAAAGTCCTTACAGCAATTTAGCACTTAATAATAGGCAATCAAGTAATTTCTGGTGTACTACAGAAAAAGAATAAGCAATCCTGTACAATCCATGGGCTGTTATCCAGAATTGTTCAACTGAAGTGATGCTGTTTCACACCAATTTTCACTGAAGATAAAAGGCCATATTCACAGGTCCATCAACTTCTGACAGGCACTGAACTAATCGTCTGTGCAGCACTCGTCAGTGAAAGTGCCTGGAGCATTTAAATCTTTGCAAAGGAAGCTGAAAACTACAATTAGGTGTCTACAGTCTGTTCTGTAGCTCACATTTATTGCCAACCCCTGTAAAATAACTCCTTTTTTATAGAGTAGTATTTATAAAGCACATAGAGTGGTTAAGTCAAGATAAAAGCTCTGGGGAATGATGTTTGAAGACTATCTAAGGAAAACACTCCTAGTCTTCAGTTTTAAATGTGTACTTTTTGAGAGACCAGTGGGAATTTCTAACTTTTAAGAGTTTCTGGAGAAATAAAAGGAATTATCATATGTGTTGAGGAAACATGTTTTGTTCTTTTACTGTTCTTTTTAGGTTGCAAGAGTTGTCAGCCCCCAACTGTGGTTAAAATTGCACTTGATTTAGAAACTTCTAAAATAATCTCAAATGAAAATATATCAGTTTGTGTATTATTAGATAAATATTTAAGAATATAGTAAAATGTAAGATGAATGAATTTTTAAGTTTGTTGGTAGTCTCTTTCTTGTATTTAGAAAAATACAGCAAAGAAATCAGTATAAAACATTTATTGTCTAACAAAAATGCTTCTACAAATAGAAAGGGAAATATTGACAATACAAATTAATTAAATGATGCAAAAATTGAAGTGCCGACTCCCTTCCACATACAAAAGCCTGCACTTGTCAAGAAATATTCCCCCCACCATTTTTCAACTGGCTATGGCCACGTGCCAAGCCCAAACCATATCAAATGAATTAGCTTAATACAGGTATAAATATGCTCAGACAAAAAGATCTAACATGTAACTGGTTTATGTGATGTTCTTTCAATTAGCCATATTCCAATAAGCCTCAGTTTTAATTTCATAAGCCTAGGAATTCATTTGACTTTGGTGAATTCTCCTCCCCCTCAGTAATTAACTATTTAACTGTGACTAATGAAAAAAAGAAGTCAAATTGCATATTGGTTTTATCAGCAGTAACAGATAATTAATTAATCACTGGTTCTATTGAAATTGCTTGAGTATAATTATGGAAAAGTAAATAATCAGTGCTGAGTTAGCTTTCATTTTCAGATTTCTATATGCTCAACTGAACACACATACATGTAAGTGCCTGCATTTCTTTTCATGATAAATACTCTTTGGAAATTTTTGTCTTTAATTATTTTCAAGCATTTAGAAAGGTTTATGGCAGTTTGTTAAACAAACCAAAAAATGCATAATGAAGAAACTCATAATAATAACTGGAGCTGCACAAGTACACAGTTATAAATGGTAGCTCATAAGTCCGTATTTAAGACTACAAAGTGGTATCATCACAATGAAGAAAATTATAAAATTTGTCATGATTTGTTGATCTATACTGTGTAGATCATAGAGTATTTTTCCTCCTAAATTGTCCATCCACCAAATATGTTTAAATGTTACAGAGTAGTTCCTATTACAACTATCAAAAACAGTGAACACAGCATGAAAAGCATTTTTTAAATAAATACATTTTATTGCAAGTACTTTAACTCATACTCCCCATCTCAATATTCAGTGAGAAAATCCCAAGCTAAGCATAATAATGAAGAAGCTACTCAAGGAGCAGGGGATCTGCAAATGCATAGGACAAGTGTAATAAATACCATTTTAAGATCATACTGTAGGAATCAGAACTGAATGGACTGAATGTGTGTTTAGCCTTAGGATTTCTCTTTTCCTAACTCTAAAAATATCATGCAAGTTAGAAAAATATATCTGTAAGGATAACGTTTCATCCTAACCTATTTTAGAAATTTAGGATCATTTTGGTCTGTATTCTTCCCATGGATATGGGAGAGTTAGGCTCCCACCCAAGAGGATTAAGCCCACTCAAACCCATCAGGTTCCCAGTACTCAGGTGCTTGAGCCTTGCTGACACGGGCACAAGGTCAGGGTGTATCTGTAGGCACGCAGGGATGCCTTGTGCTGAGTGCCTAATATGGGGAGGGATGTGCTGGTTTGGCACCAAAGCCAGCCAACCCCCAATTAGAACCTCATGGCTGAGATAGCCTTGCATGAAGGCAATAAGCCACATGTAGTGATTTCTCTAAGTTCAAGAGGCAAAATGCCCCAAGACATGAAATGAAAGGACCCATGTCTATCAGGTATCTACAGATCAGCAGGTATCTCTCATACACTGATTTCACACACCAAGTCTCCCTGCAAGGTGAGCAGTGCAGTCTGTGCATTCAAAGCCCTAAGTCCAGCAGGACTCTCTATGGTACCATACACACTGCAGTACACAACAATCTTTTATTTTGTATTTTTCAGGAAAACAATTGAACTCTAAACTAAGCCCTGCTCTTGCACAGAGCCTGCAGTCTTACTTGTCCTTTTACAACCCTGTTGTTTCTGTGCCTCCGGGAACTCAGTGGGAGCTGCTGACTCCATGGAGCTGATCAGTGGTATTTTGCTTCACACAACACAGTAGTTCATACCTCCTACTGACTTAGGCATTGTATTGCTACGTTCTTTCACACTTGAACGTAGCTGTAGTCTGTTCCGTACTCACCAATCGGATATAACAGATACATGTATAAAATGATACCAAAACATTGAACTAAAAATAAACCTTGCTCATAAAAGCAGTTCTTTTTTTCTCATCATGGAGACGATCATGCTGGTTTGTATTTTTGGTGTGATTTCCAAAGACTTGCATAGTCTGCTTTACAAATATTGGATTTTTCCGAGATTATTTACGAGTCTGTAAAATTTATGGATGAAAAGACATCCATTCCTCTATTACCTTCAGCACTGTGGAAAAGTAAAGTAATTTTGTGAAAGTAACGTAATGTCTCTTGGGCTGAGCTAAGAACACTTAGGAAAAAAAAACTTCTCTTCTGCAACATTATTTATATTATTTTTTTTCTTCCGTATTTCCAAAAGGTCTCTTGCACCAATGCATTTCAATGACACTCAGTTATGCAGCCCTATTCTAACTCTGCAAATGTCCTTGCTTATGGCTTCCCGTTATTGGGAGATACAAACTATATATGTTGGATAAAACTAATTATTAAATTCCTGCATTGGCCAAAATCTAATGCCTATAGCATTTTTCAAATACTCTATAACCATTTTTCAACAATGTCTCTACATTTTCCTGTTGGTTTTGTTTGCTTGTTTGTTTGTTTGTTTTGGGGGGTGGTTTATTTTATTTTAGTGGAAAATCAAGAGAATAGCCTCTCTTATCCACTTCTAAAGTACCAATCAGTTCTTCAGTAAAAATGACAGAAATGAGAAAGAATGTAATGGTAGAAAGATTGTATCCCACAAAATTCAAGCAAATCAAGAAAACATTTTTCTTGGAGATTGATTGTTGAGTGCGTGAAAGAATAAACATATCTCTTGAAGAAAGTAAGAAAGTACTCTTGTGGTCAAGTTAAAAAGTACCCTTTTACCCAAAAGCTCATTTACCCTAAAGCTCATTGAGATGTGACAGTGTACGAATAAATACAGTATTTCCGACAGAAGTTTCAGCACTGTATGAGTGGGTTATCTAAAAAAGAAACTAAAAATTAACTTTCATTGTATTTGGAACAAGGACAATCACAAATGGGAACGTGGCGCTGTCTCTGAAAGCCAAACTTTTTTCACATTAAAAAAAAAAAAAAAGTCATTTTCAAATTCTCTTTTCCCTGGTAAAGTATTAAAAACCATCGTCCTTTTAATCTGACTTTCGCTCTTCAGCAAGCTCTGAGGAGGTTTGGGCTCCCGGCGGCCCGTAGTTTCCCTGGCAACCGGCAGGAAGCGTCCCCGGGAGCTGAGCCGCCCGTCCCGCAGGGCCGTAGGAGCGGGGACAGCGCTGCCTCCAGGCCGACGCTCCCCGGGATCAGCGGGAGTTGTGGGGACGGGAGAGGGGCCGAGGGGAGCAGGGTGTCCCCCTCGTTCTCGCACTGGGTCTGCGGATGTCCCGCGGGGGCCGGGCCGGCGGCTCTGTGGGACCTCGCCGGAGCGTCGCCGCTGGAGCCTCTCGGCAGTGACGGCGCTCGAAGCCCCACGTCTCCTGCCGCTGCCCCAGCTGCGCTCCGGAGAGTCGGCGCTCACCAGGGTAAGGAAGCAACCTCGCCTTTCAAATCCTACTGACTTTAGTTCTGCCTGCCTTAAGTGACTTCTAGGACCGAACTCCAGGCTGCAGTTTTCCTCCTTTGAAAGTAGTCTTTTAGAGGTGTTTTCCTATTTCCATTTGAAGTGTCTGTCCTTTGCTTGAAATCTGTCATCTACCAGTAGATGGGTCACTTCTGTATCAAACCTCGTACGTCGCTTGTTTGATTCACGACTGTACTTCAGCCGTCTGATCTCTCTGCAAACACGTGTGAGTGACTTTCCGAGCTCATGACTACACAAGGGCTTTCATCTCTGAAGGTTGAGACCTCCTTATGAAGAGTACTTTTCCTGCTCAGTGCCACTTCCACCTCTGCCAGTATATTGCCTCAGTTGTATTTTTACGAAACCATTATCACTGTACTTACTCTTGTCTTCATTTCTGTCCCAAAGGGCTGACATTGTTCCTGCTTATTGTCACACTTTTTATCATTTACTTTTTGTCATGGTACAACCACTGACTTTTCTAGATTTAGTTGTTAGTTAAAACCTCAGTAAAGTCCTTGACATATATCTTGATTACTTCCTGGGAAATAGAATAAATTAAATACATCTGAATTACTTATTAATATTTTTCTGAGAAAAATATTTATGTTGTTATTAGCAAGCTGACTGTTCATATTATGAGCAATTGTATATTTCAAAGGCTGACACTGATAGCACTATTTTGTGATATACGATGCTACTGTCAAGAACTTATCTGGTGTTTTTATAGTAAAAAAGTGATTTTGATTCTTATTTTTCTGATAGTTAAAAATATGCCTTGTAACTAGTGTTATTAGAGTTTAATGATAATAAGCTGACATAAAATCAGTATATTTTCTTTCTGTGTTATTGTTTGTCTTTTAGGGCTTCAAATTATTTCTAGTTTTAATGACTTGCATTTTACTGAATAGTTCACATAAGTGTCATGTAAGTTTTTGTGTGTTTTGAAGAGACTTGATTGTCTATTTGTGGTATGCTAGTTCTTTTTAAAAGACTGTCACTGGAGACAGGCTGCATTCTGGAAATAGTAAGATAGAGAAGACAGGATGTACAGTGGGTGATCTGATTTGAATCACTATTTCTGATTAAATCATCTGTCAAGAAGTATTGATTTAAAGTTTCATTTTTAGTTTTACTTTGTATTTTAGCTAATTTGGTAATCATTATTATATGTTGTTTCTTGACATTCACTAGAACTTAGGTGCTAGATTTAATTCTTTCCACAAGTCAAAAAGACATAGCATATCTACACAAGTGCTGGGACCTTATAATTTCTTACCAGAAACAGAAACAATCCTAAAGATTTCATAATTTAGATGATGACTGGGGAATGAGATGCTGGAAAGGGTCCTGGTCGACAGCAAGTTGAGTGTGAGTCAGCAGTGCCCTGGCAGCCAGGAGGGCCAACCATGTCCTGGGGGGCATCAAGCAAAGCATCACCAGCCGGTCAAGGGAGAGAATTGTCCCGCTCTGCTCTGCACTGGTGTGGCCTCGCCTTGAATATTGTGTGCAGTTTTGGGTGCCACAATAAAGGAAAGATATTAAGCTATTAGAGAGCATCCAAAGGAGGGCAACAAAGGGGGTGAAGGGCCTTGAGGGGAAGCCGTATGAGGAGGGCTGAGGTCACTTGGTCTGTTCAGCCTGGAGAAGACAAGACTGAGGGGAGACCTCATTGCAGTTACAACTTCCTTGTGAGGGGAAGCAGAGGGGCAGGCACTGATCTCTTCTCTCTGGTGACCAGTGACAGGACCTGAGGCAACGGCCTGAAGTTGTGTCAGGGAAGGTTTAGGTTGGATATTAGAAAAGTTTCTTCACCCAGAGCGTGGTTGGACACTGGAACAGGCTCCCCAGGGAAGTGCTCACAGCACCAAGCCTGACAGAGTTCAAGAAGCATTTAGGAGATAATCTCAGGCATATGGTGTGAGTCTTGTGGATGGTCCTGTGCAGGGCTAAGGGTTGTATTCGATGATCCTTGTGGGTCCTTTCCAGCTCAGCATATTCTATGATTCTGTGACAAAAGTACGTGAGTGGAAGTCCTGTTTGGAGGGAAGAATTAGAATAACCAAGCTAAACAAGGACTGTATGTGCAAGAGTCTGGCAGAGATTAGGGCAAGTGGCTTATAGAGCTGTGGGTGTGTGAGTAGCATGGCAAAAACCATCTGCCTCTCTAGTTCATCCTGATCTCAGTATTTGGAATTTAATCACATTTTTGACAAAAACAGATGTCACAACTTTGTAAAGGTGATAGCTGGATGGCAATCATTCTGCTCATCCTTGAGGCAATGTTTGTTTCTGTGTATTATTTAATTTGCCTCCTATAGTTTTCATTTCTATATAGTGTCATTTCTTGTTCACAAAGGAATGTAATTTCTTATTTACTAAATTGTTTTTTACCATCCAGAATGCACCATAGCATAAATTACTGAACATTAATAATATTCAAACCCAGCATTTTCACTCTTTTAGTTTTATTAATATTTGAAAACTTGTAATTTCCCAGGAATAATTTATCTTGTTCATCATTGTGTCAGACTTGGTATGTTAAATAGGCAGAGGACTATTAATTTTATTAGGGACACTTTAACCCAATTACATACATATATGGTGACACATGTAGCTGGTGCATTGACATTTAGAAGATAAGTGTATCTAAATCAGTATTTAAGGATGTAAACAGAAGGTTATTTTTGCACTCTTTTAAAAAAATAAAAGTCATTCTTCTTACATGGAATTGGAATTAATTTTCTGTGTTCTTTCTTTGCTGCCTTACATTTCTGTTCTCATCTCTTACTGATTCTGCACTGGGTTTTTTGTGTCCTGAATGTACTTGCTCTTCTCTTCATTCCTTCATCCTGGCTATTCCTCAGATTGTTGCTCACTTCTGATGTAACTGTACCCAACAAGCCTATTTCACTCTGGGCTCTTCTGCTGAGCCCCGTAATGCTGCTTGCATTCCTGTAGGCTACCTAAAGGCAGACTGTAGCTAATTCACTTCAGCTGCAGGTCTCAAAGAACACAAGAAAAGGGGAGCAGGTTAGGAAATGTGTGCATTTGAAAGACGGAGTGACAAGACTGTTAAAATTATCCCGTGCACTGCATAGGATGTATAAGAATAAGCCTTTGTTTCCTGGTGCACTTATTCATATTTTCTTGATTGTTTGTTCATGTCAGTTTTATGGCCTGAGCATTCTAACCCTCGATAGTCTGCCATATAGGAATGAAAATTATTTTATGTTTTTAATATTTTTCTATTCTAGGAAGCAATGTTCTAAGAATGTCATCACGTATCCAAATAAAACCAAAGACTGCAGCACAGAAAAGCAAGACATCCTCTCCTTTACCATGTTCTCCAGAACCTGCTATTAAACCACAGCCAAAGCCTAGTGACAAGCTGAATCCTAAAACTATCGATCCGGTATGTGTAGGTGACAGGGGGTTTGTTTGTTTGTTTAAAACCCATCTCTGGTTGGAAAAAAATTCCTTACTTTATGAAATGACATGTAGGACATGCTTCTTCTGGTCCTGTTTTTTAAATTGAAATTAAACTTTTGTTATTAATCATACATTCCCTACCTTCTAAGCCAAATGCCTGAGGCATAACATTGTTTATTACATTTTTAATAAATGTGTTTTGGTACAATTGTGGCTTGCATGGTAACTGTTATCTTCTATGTACTGTTGCCCTAAAAAGAGATTTAGAGCTAAGAGATAAAGAGAGTTGGGTTTTTTTTTATATGCTTCTAAACTTTGATACCTAGTGCTTTAGAGGAACTTATTTCAGTTATGCAATGAAACTAAGAATCAGGCAGCATCTTGAAGATCATCAAGACTTCATGAAATCTAGCAAATTAGTTGCTGGTGAGCATTATATGAAACTCACAATTACTGTGAATATGTAATACTTTACGAAAAATTTGGGCTCTTGGGAGCAGAATAATGAAGGGAGTTATTTCATGGAAGTCACATGCCTGAAGAAATAGCATTGAATACCTGAATTATAGCTCACCACTGGTCCACATAATTTGACAATTAGTAATGTCACAGGCTTTTTGGAAAGTGAATTAAATGTAGGAGTAGTTTGGTGAGGTAGTAGTTTGCAATAAACAGAGGCAGAATACTTTAATGTGGGCATCTTTTTTACTTTAAATCTTTTTGCAAGTAGCACAATGACTTAAATTAAGCCATGCAGTCATCAAATCATGCACACAATTTTAAGGATTTTAATGTAGGTTCAAACACTCAAAAGATGAAAATTATGATTTCATGGTATTTGCTTTTAAATGCTTTGTGATAAGGTGTTTAAAATGGGAAGCAGCATTGAATGATCATGCTAATAAATAATACAATAGTTTATATGTATAGGAACCATGTATATGATAAAAAGCAAATTTGTGCAGCTTTTCTACCTGTGAAGCTCCTAGTTTCCTTGTGCAGTGAGTTCTTTCTAGATTCTCACCCAGTATGAACCTCCCTGTGTATTTCCAGTGCCCTCATACCATCTTGCCCAATTTTTGGTATTTCTCCCACATCTTGCCACCTTGTATGTTTGTCTATACTCAGATCAAGATGGAACTGCATAAAACTGCCTTCTGCATGTTACCAGTATAAATACAAGAGCATAAGGAAAGTGAGAGCTCCTTAATCTGTTAAGGAAAGAACCTGTAGGGCTTAAGTATTAACATTTGCAAGAGAAAACAGAAAAATAAGGTAATTCCATTGGGAAAACGCTGATTCTACATTATTTATTCATTTGAAAAACTCCCTAGCCAGACGATTCTGAAGAGCAGTTTTCTGATAAGTGTATCAAATATATGTTTTCCACCCCATACCTGCAGTTCTTTTTTTATTTATTTGTTTTAGAATCGTATGACTAAGTTCTTTTTTTGGTAAACTGCAGTTTTAACATATTTATAATAGTTATAAAACCTTACTGTTTTGAATAAATAATGCTACTTCTCTCTGTCCTTGCAGTTTGGTGCTTATTCTCGACCAACATCTGCATTTGCTGCTACATATGCTAAAGGAGGCATTCCGTGCAGGTGTGTAGGGTTTGTTTAAATTTTTACTAAATATATTATGACATACATCTCTTCATGTTTGATATTTTAGTTAGGTTGTCTGATTCCATTCATTTCTGGAAAGATTTCTAATGCTGAGCTCTTTTCAAAGCAGAAAGCAATTTTCCTTGCCTTTGAAAATGTCTTTGTTTGTTTGTTTTTTTTTTAATGCTGTATTAATACTAAAACCACATTTTTAAAGAATAGTTAAGTTTGATTTCTCCAGGTAATCTTGTTTACTTCTCCCTACTAGTAAAGATAGTAAAATTAGTGCCATTTTAGTAAGTAGACCTCTTGCAGCCTTTTTCATCTGAAGTACTTAGTACGACAACATTTTATTGAATATTCCAATTCTGTAGTTGTCAGCAATATCAGATATTAACAAAAATACTTGTAAGTAATAGTTTATGGTGTTTTAAGTTACTTTGGATAGAAAATAAACATTTTAGTGTTTTCTTACTAGGATGCAGAATTACTTTACAAAAATTTAAGTAATCATTAATACAATGTACATGTGTTTACTTGTATAAAATAATCATTAATACATAGCCTTTATCTGTATCTTAGGAGTAAATAATAAATTCCAATATGATTTTCTTTCAGTTTCAACTGATTTCCCTTACCATTTGAGGAAAACATTTCTTGATACTTATCAAAATAAGTAACTTTGCAAAAGGAGCATCTTCGGTGTTGGCATAAGAGGCATCTATAATTTTTATAACCTTTATTTTCTGGTTTCTGTGTGATAAGGATCAGAATTTTGGAAACTGCCATATTTTGGGAAATTATTATAATTTCAGTGTTAAATACCATTATACGTACACTGGGTTGGACTTGATGATCTTAGAGGTCTTTTCCAACCTAATTGATTCTGGGATTCTGTGGTTTCACTAAGGAGAACAGTATGTATTGGGATTGCGTATATAACAGAGTAACACCACAAACTAATTGCTGATACATTTAAAGCGAATAGTGGTAGTAATAAATCATGTATTCTTATATGATGATTTGTTAAAACTTTATTTTTTATATAGGTTAGTGCATGGGTCAGTAAAGCACAAACTGCAATGGGAATGCCTTCCTGAAACTGTTCCCTTTGATCCTCTCCTTGTAACATTGGCAGAGGTAAACTCAATTTCTTGCAACATTAAGCATACAACCATTTCCTAATTGCAAATGTCATTTATTAACAATCTAAGCTAGCTAATTTAGGCTCACATACTAGGGAAATACAAAAAAAAAATTGTGAAGATCTTGTATGAATGAAAATGGTCAAGAGCATTGCTATTTGTAGTTCTTTAGTTGGAGCATTCTGAGAGAGCTAGGTAGAGCTGTTTAATCTTCAACATACTGGCCAAATGCAAGACTGCATCTCAGATTTCCAGCTGTTGAATGAAATCATCAATTCATTTGTAGTTTTGCAGGTTCTTTTTAAACTAAATTGCTTTGATTATTTTTTTATATCAAGTCTACCTGTTGAAGCAAGAGTGTTCTTCTCAATAGATTGAACTAGTACAATGAAAATAGCATCCTGTAAATAAATTGAAGGGCAGTACTATGCATTATGTTGAGGCTTCTATTTCCTCACAACCATCTGTGACACTTATCACCAAATATGTTTCAGGTGTCTAAATAAATGATGAATTCAATGCTGTAGATAGAATAAAGTGCATATCCAGAGGTGGCTTATTCTTTTTTTTTTTTCTTTATTTTTAAAAGATTAAACAAAACTGTCAATTCCTAAAGTAACATAAAGCTCCTATTGTGGAAAGAAGAAAGGCTTCAGCCACTGCCCTTTAAATCTTTGAGTTCTGCCAGTCAGGCCTTCTACGCTAGAAGAGCATCTTTGTACCATCAACGAGTTTTTGATGTTACAGAGAGGGGTGTGTGGTGGGGAGCATCTTTCCTTCCATAGTTCATCTTCAATTTTTTTTTCCTTTAGGGTACAAAAACATAGCCTGCTCTTGTTCCTGGTCTTGTTGAAAAAATACCTTGGGTAGTTAGATTAAAGGTAGTACACATATTGATTGAATAGGCAGTATTCATAATGTGAGTTTTAATATTCAATGCTCCAAAAGAAAAATGAATTAGAATATTCTGTGAGGAGAGTTGTACTGAGTGGCTCCACATGGTGGAGTTAGTGTACTTTATGTTTTGAACTGATCTGACAAAATCTAAACATTATCTTGCTGCTACGTGGAACTTTTTAAATGTGTTTTTGTTTAAAAGAAGGCACACTATTAAGAAACACATTTTACATTTGCAACAGGGACTAAGAGAGACAAAACATCCCTATACATTTGTTTCAAAGGAGGGCTTTAGAGAATTACTTCTGGTTGAAGGTGCTACTGAAAAAGCAATTCCCTTGTTGCCTCGTCTAGTTCCAGTCTTAAAGGCTACACTGGTATGTCTTACTCTTCATGAAGAGATTTTAATGGGTTTGATTTTTTTTTCTTTTGCTGGTGAGAACTACATGGAAAATGTTAACGTGATAAATCTGCTGCATGGGTTTTGGCTTGGGGGTTGGGAATGGTTTCTCTTTCTCTTGTAAACCCTGCCTTGGTTTATTAGCTAAAAATGTATTTAACTGTAAATTTAAATGGGCAACTCGTTACAGCTGTATGACAGTAGCTACGGGCAAATTTTGTGGAAATGTTGTATTAAAGGTCTGTATATAAGCAGAAATAAATATATGTCTTTGTGGTGTTTTTATATATCCACATGCAAAAAATAGAAATGAGGTGAAGTAAAATGGAGATGTGGGAATAAATAATCATCTGTTACATCTAACAATTCAAAACGTGCTACAAAGGTAAAATAGAATATGTCAATGAGGAAAAGGGAGGAATACAGTTAAAATATTTGTGGTCATATTCTTAATTTTTAAAATGTTTTTAACTTTTCTACTCCTTCAGAAAACAAAGTGAGATATTGGCTTCAAGGGTTATCTTTTTTGGATCTTTTTCATATTTTTCAGAGCCCTTTTCTGGTTCAGCAAGTAGCTGTTCTTTAATTTAGCTGTGTTTCAGTTTTGATTTTATAGAGATTGCTGAGAGCTTGAAAATTCTTTGTGATCTCAAATCAGAGGTGTAACAGAAGTTCAGAATTCTGTGTTATCAGTATATTTGGTTTAGTTTGAAGACAAAATTAGAAATATTATTCTTGTCTATTCCTCAATTACTGTTACTCGTCTGATAATTTTTATTGTTGCACTGCTTTGGTATAAAGTCTTCTTAAACCTTCTACTACACAAGCAATCTATCACTTCTAGTTAAAATGAAAACATTCAGGTCTCAGATGCTGGAGTGAAAAAATAATTGTTTAAATAAACGTAAAATTTAGTACGAGAACAAAATAAATTCTTATGAGTCTATTTCTCCACTAAAGGAAAAGTGAGATAATTAAACCATTAGAGAACTTAGGGATAGAAGAACCTTCCCATGGGAGAAATAAAGATGACAAGGAACCCTAGAAGTAGATAAGAGCCAGATAATTTCTGGCAGGTGACAAAGGTGTAGAGAGAACTAAATGAATTGAGGCAGAAAGTCATTGGCTCCACTGTTTCTCCAACAAAGGAAGTTATTGTTATGAATTACATAGAAATTACACTGAATTAATTACATTTGTAAGTAAAATGGTGTCTCCCCATTTCAGCATATCTGCATTTGAAGGGTTATTTCTAATATGCTGTGAAATACTGAAATTGTTGGTGTAGTAAGCTGCTTTGCATGCCAAATATTTTTATTTCATCAATAATAAATTATTAGTTTCCTTGTCTCAGAAGAAATGCAAGAGTTTCACTGACATTTTGTTGATACTTTTGGTTCTACTTTAAAAATATACTTCTGTTTTTAAATGTGGTCTCTGGAGACTAATATTCAGTCATGTTGTACTTGTATTTCTAAACTTGTAACATTATAGCAATTGGCAATTGCACAGTAATTCTAGTGTTTAAAAATACTACATGCAATCATAATGCAGAGATTGCAGTTTAGAAAAATTTTTGTGTTTATGTGAATACTACTGATAGGGTTTTCTTTCTTCCTCCTCTGAAGGCCCATGCGGATGATGAAGTATTTGGAAGGGGATTGGATGCTTTAGTTCAGCTGAGTGCTGTTGTTGGCCCATCTCTTAATGATCATCTTAAACATCTACTCACAAATGTAAGTTTTTAATGCTGTAGTAAAAAATCCTTTGTATTGTCATGGTACTTTTGTTGAGATGTTTCCTGTAATATCTGCACAGATACAGCGGAGGACTCAGCAGTTCCATGAAAAGCACTATTTCATATATTCCTCTAAGTGAGTCCTTAATTCTTTAATAATATGGTGACTTATAAAGTTCTAGCAATGTCCAAAAACTTGTTAACACAAACTGGAGAATAATGGAAGTATAGGCCCGAGGAGAAATAGATGCTATGTTTTGGAGGAAAGTTTATAACAAATGAGTTTTTCATTTTGTGTGCGAACATTTTAACAAAACTGTGACAGTTTCAATAAATTAACATAAGCAAATATTCAAACTTCTTTCAGATGAGAATTCCGCTCAAAGAAGTTTTCATTAAATAAGCTTAGAGTAGAATTATGAGAAGTATTTTTATACTGAGTCCTTTTGAGGATATCCTTCCTCCGTCAGACAGGCTTTTCATGGTTTCATTTAGCCTGCTTGCAAAGTGCACTTTTACAGCAAAATAAAAGGACTTTTACAGCAAAATAAAAGGACCTTTTTTGACATCCAGTGCAGAAGAGAGAAATTGCAGCAGTTTTTTTTTAAATATTTCCACTGTAATAAATCTCTTTCAATGCATGTGAAAAATGTGTTAACTTTTTATGTAGACAGCCCTTTAAGAATGACTTTTTTTTTAAGGTTGGTGCTTCTTTTGAATTTGTTTCCTAAAAGAAAAAAAATAAATATTTTTGTTGGCTAATAGATCCGGTTTTTTTAAGTTAACCTTATATTCCTCTGCCTTGACTAAGTTCCATACTTTAACATTAGTTACAAGTTATGATGTTTCTTTTCATCCTTAATTTTCCAAAGATGAAATAAAGTAAAAAAATAGACTTACTATACCCTTTTTGCATATATTGTACTATATTGTGCAACAAACCTTTTTATTTTACTTTTCCAATAGCTTTCAAGGAGATTAATGGACAAGAAATTTAGAGAAAAAGTTACTGTTACTTTACAAAAGTTGGAGCAATATGGTGGAAAGGTGAGCTGATCAGATGATTATTCTGTAATCTGGACATTTGAATGCAATTTTGCCAAAACAACTTTTATCTCTGGCTTTCTTGCCATGTTCTTGCTTCAGTAGACCTGGGATGCATGCTTTGCGTTCCATTTTCTGAGACTGAATATGTTTCTCAACAGTATTTACTCTTGCTAGAAGTTACTTTTTGCTGTTATTGATGATGCCTGCCATTCCCACTAAGAGCTTATTGTTTGGGTTATTTACTGAAGAATTCTGACACTCACATTCCAACTCACCCTGGTTTACTGAGAGCTTAGATCTATAATTGCTATAAATCAAAAAATACGCTTTAAGTAATAGGTGGCAGAGGTTTCTTCTAAATAAACATTCCGTTGCCATTTTATGTTGTGCTTTACATTGTACAGAAATGAGGAAAGAAGAAAAAGTGAGGAGTGTTGGCTTGGATATTCATCTAAAAGAGAATATATTTGCTTTCTTGACCCTATGAACACTTCTATGTAATATATTCAATGGTCATTCATAAAGAATAGGAATAACCTGAAGAGTAGAGACCATAAATACAGGTCCACCAGTTCTGAGCTTATGTGCATTAATCAGTAGGTGCCCAAACAATCAGTAGACATCACTTCATTTTTTTGTGTATGTGCTCATATTCATTTAAGGGCAGTAGCAGTGTTCAGTTACAGACTTGAAAAACATTACAACAAATGAAGGAGGATGAGAGTTTTTTATTTATATGAAGTGAGACAAGAAAAGAAAAATGATTTCTTATCTTGATATTCTGAAAATTTAGGTCTAGATGATGTAACTAATCCAGTGAGTCATTAAACTCTAACTCTTCTGTCAATCCTCTGATTTCTTGTTGTCTTTTTGTTTTGTGAGTAGGTCTTTCTGTGCGTCTTTTAAAAATACTCCTAAATTGTGATTATGAGCAATATTATATAATCCAACTAATTAATTTATTAAATTTCTATTCTAAATTAGTTATAAAGTGTATGATTCTTACTTTTATTAGAAGTCCCTTCTAGAATATTACTCCTCTGTTAAAAAAATCCTTATTGTTTCATGTCTGTATTTATGCCCAGTTTTAGGTATGGGTTTACATGTCCCTTCTCTTGGAATTTTACTCTCCAGTATTCGTTATCACAATCGTCCATTTTCTCAATTTATTATTTTCAGCCCTTTTGACAGTAATTTCTCAGCAATTAGTAACTTTTTAGTTTTCTACTGTTTCATAATAGCAAAGATCACTAAGTAAACTTTGTGAGTTATGCAATTTATAGAGACTGTATGAATACTGTCATACATAGTGCTAGTGCTCCTTATTTTGTTTAACTTTGCTTTGTTTTCTTCAACAGCCAACTGTGGCTATCATCAAATCGAAAATTCCAACCTATTGTTCTATCTCCCCTTGAACAAGAAATCTATAGTGATTTGTACTGTAAGGTGAAGTTTGGAAAGAAGCTGCCTTTGAACATCACTGACACTTATTTGGGGTATGACATATTCTCTTAAAACAATCACAATTCTTCACTATGATGGAGAGTGGGAGTCTTATCAGTTTGAGAATATGTAATTACAGAAGACTTCTCTCTATATTTGCATATGCCTTGTGCTTATGATGACATTGATTAACCTGCTGTTATTTCAAAAGCAGAGTAAATATTGATTCTTATTTTGTTGTAAACTACAATTTCATTTAAAATATCTGCAGTGCTTAATATGTTTTGTATATTTGTGTGATGCAAAATAATTTGGCAGTAATTACTTAAATAGTAACCAACTTGGTGTTAAATGACATATTTATACCTGCTTTTGAAACATATGACTTATTTTGTGACAGGCACAGATGGATGCATTTCGGTTCATTGGGACTAGGTTAGACATAGAACTCTGAGCACTCATAGACTTCTTCAGAGTCAGCTTTTCAAGGTGTGAAGTTGAACACACCAAACAAGGAGCATATGGTGCAAAGCTGAACTTGCTCAGTGCATTCTCAGCACATTGTTTTGAAATGCTGGGAAGGCTCGGAGAATACAGTGCAAAGGTATCAGGTTGCTCCACAGATCCACAGCCTAGGGTTTGCTCAGCTAATTAGTTCCAGTTAGCTTTGGGCCTGCTGAATGGGAGCTGGATGTAGGAGGCAACTTTGGAGTATTTACACCGTGCTCCCTCTGCACCGAGTTCAGGAATGTCACAGATATGCTTGGCACTAGCTTGTGAATTCCAGTCTAGACAAGTTAATAAACTTCTGAACATGGAAGCTATAAAAAAATAGGAGTTGAAAACAACAAAAGCATTTCAGACACCAGCTTACCTCTCTGTCAAGCCTTCTACGTTGCAGCATTTGCTCATGATCGTATTTGAACTTGACTGCAAAATAATTCCATAATGTTGGAAGGGAGGGGTATTTTTGTCATCAGAAGATACTGATGCGTGGAGTATTAAAAAGTCTGTCACATGAAAGCAATTTCATCTTTTTTTTGAAAATTACTACTGCTTGACTAAGTTAAATTTACCTCAGGACTGTGGTATGATTGCTGCTGAGATAAGAACTGTGCTAAGTCAAGATAAATATATTTAGACTTTTTTTTTTTTTTAATTGTATTTCTTCAGTTAACAATTTTGCCAACAAGTATTTAACAACTCAAAAAAACTGATCATGGTCCTTTTTTTTCTTCATGTTTACTTTATTTTTTTTTTACAAAATGTGCACATTTAGTTTACACAAACACGCTACAGCAGATTTCAGGTGTACATGTATTGTACTACTCTTATCCTACACTGGTGATAGCAGAGCAGCCTTCAACATGCCTCTAACATCCCATCTCTACACCAGAATAGATACCTGATTTGTTTTTACAAAAGAATGCTTGCAACGTTCTTTCTACTTCATTAATTCACATTTTCTGCAGCAATGTCACAATGAAGGTTGGCCTACCTCTGATAGCATTTCACCTATTTTAAAATATTGGCATAAACTCTGTGGACAATATATCTTAAAAATTACATGGATGGAGGGGCATTGTTATATTTTAGGTGCATACTTTTTTAGAAAAATCTTTCTAAGTTCAGAATAAATAGCTCCAATCTTAATGAAGAAATGATCCTAAAAAAATGTAATGCATTTATCACATATAGATGATATATAGCTGAAGTTTCCATTTTTTCCTGATTCTGTCTCATAGTTACAGATATTACAAAAAGCTGAAATAGATGTTAGCCTGACTAGCAGTCATTATTAGTAGATGTTACTACATAGGGATATTCATTCTCAGCACTGAAGTGGGATGGAAGTTTCAAAGGAAGTTCATGCCTTTTTATTTGTTAAAGGCAAAAAGACACGTACTTATGAAAACAGTGTTAGGATCCAGTTAAGCTTTCTTCATGAAAAATTAGAAGTCAGAAGATCCTTAATTTTAAGCTAAGAACTTTGCAGACACATCCAAGAAGAATTAGAAATACAGTATGTAGGACGCCTGGTATTCCTGTCGTGATAGATTTACTAGGTAAGTGTGATTGATAGAAGCTTACTCATATTTTTGAGGGAATAAACCTACCTATAAGCAGTTTGGGTTTTTGTTCTAGAACAGTTCTTCCTCTCAAGTTATCAGTTTTGTTAGGTTTGGGGTTTTTTTCTTTGGAAGAGAAAAGCAAGTCGAAGGTGGAAGGCAATTGCAGCAAGATGTGCATTGCACACTGATTATAGCATTAACTCTAAGTGTTATTCAAAAATGAGGACTACATCATAGAAATGGGAAAAGAAAATACATGGTAATGCCTCTGTATAAATTAGAAGCTAAGATTTAAGAAATACACTTGAATACCTGGAGTTTAATCCAGTAAAAATGAGTAGCAAAACTAAGAGTATATTTTTATTCTCCTTGTGATTGTATCTGTTTTAACTAGGGTTTGGAATGATAATAAAGCTGCATACTGTCAGTTCTTTGTTTGAATTTGGAGTAAAAACTTGATTTTTCAGTACAATCTTGTTAACTAAGTAGCCTCTGTTGAAGAGCTAAATTTTATAATTTTGAAAGAATTTTTTATTGGGAAGAGTTTATAATAAAAAATTTACTTGCATAATCCATGTCTCAGTGTAAAGCTGAGTAACTTTATTTATGATAAAGTGGGAAATCCATCTTTTAGATAATGTTGCCGAATAGCTCATATTTGTCCATTAGTTGTAGACCTAATGTCTTCATTAAATCACATTTTCAAAGAGCTGCATGGATCGCATTATATTCTCATCCTGTAAAAAAAGACAATACAAAACCAAAAATCATACACCATTACAAATGTAGCTGGCCAATATCTATAGTGCCATGGTGTAGAACTAACTGTATTTTAGTTAATTACAATATTTTCTTTCAGCTTGTTTAGAGAAATTGTTAGCAGAAAAAGGCTGTTAATGGATCTATGCTTAAATAAGTTTTTGTATATATTAATGAGACCAAAACTACCCTGTCAAGGATACAATAGCACATTAAGAAAATTAAGTCTGCAGTGTTTCAGAGCCCATCCATTTATACCCACTATAAAATAGTTCATTTAGACAATGGAACTCATGGAATAGTTGTATCTGAAGTGCAGCTCCATACATGGAATTGCTACTTCTGTGCATTGTACAGAGGAGCCTTTTTGCAATACTAGGGCACCCTGCTATGTAGCTAGGGATGACTCTAACATAAAATAGATTCAAGTGTGCATCTTTGCATGAACTGAAGAGTCAATCAGTTTGACAAGTAACACAACACTCTTCAGCTCCTCAGTTCAGATTTTCCATGTGCTCACACTGAAAGATGGTCACTGCTTTCCAATGCTACTTCTGCTTTCTGATTGCTTTGCATTAGGTAATGTTTAAGAAAATCTTTAGCTCCCAAGTTTTGCATAATGCTTAGTGATGCATCCCTCTGTACTCCAGTTTTTATCAGTAAATAGCTCTCAACACAGCACTCAGAAAACAGTATTTTTCTTTGTAAGCTTTACATTTAGGTGTATAGAAGAAAGAGTTTACTTGCAGTAGCCTATATTTGTTGGGATTTCTGGATCAACGGTTGCTTGCACAAAACAATATATGTACACAATACAAGAGTTTACTACATGCTCATTTAGCATTTGCTGGTCTTCACTGTAATCAGTCTATATTTTAATCTGAATGCACACCCTTTAGCACTTTCTTGAGAGATAATTTAGACATCTTCAATTCAAGTGAACAAAAAGACTGAATTTAATAAATTATGCCCACTTCTTACAGAGGTTATCTCATAGTATTCTCCACTACTGATAGGGATGTGATACTTCCGTACATAAATCTTCCCATAATACGTGTTCAGTATCAATTTCCAGTTAAATTATTCACTGTTCAGTCTAGTGGGTGATTTGCTTTGTAAAAATGACTGGTTTGAGTAATTTGCTTAATTTATGTTATGAAACATGCACAGTGGGGTTTTTCATCTTTGATTCCATATGCCATCTCAAGTGATGTTGCTGTAAGAAATGATCTGTGCACTATTTTGTACTGATAAAATAACTCATGGAAGCAATTATATGTAATTTAAAAAAAATATGTAGATTAATGCTTAAAAATTTGTGTAGTAAAATTACTATATTAAATTACTGAAAGTTAAAATAAACTAACTTTTTTTCCCACTGCATTGCTTTAAAATATCAATAAACTAGACAAGATCACTGATTAATGTAAGGTTGAAGTTTGGTTTAACTGGCATCATTTGTCATTTAATTAATATAAACTGGCAACTAAGCTCAGCAAATGGGCAGCACAAACAACATGCTCTGAATTTCCTAAGTGTTTTGCCACTTCCTACCCATTTTATTATATGTGTATCATCATGAATGAAACTGGTAGTTTTCTAAAATCAACTCCATAATTCTGAGGTTGGCTGTTTCTTTACAGAAGACTTCCAATGCCCCTTCCTTAGTCAGTCAAATGGGAAGAGTCTTCACAAGAAAATACAGGCTTGTCATAATATTTAGAACATGGTAAGTTTTAGTAGCTTTTTTTCCCCATCTTTAAAAAAGAAAAAAAAGCAGATGCTTGCATTGGAATTCTTTGGCAAGTGTATCTTTTTCACTTGCCTCTTTTTTCAATACATTTTTCTACACATAACAGATTTGTTTAATGATTCCTAACTCAAGACATAAGGAGGTGTTAGTGCATATGAAACATTGTCCATATGAAGCACAAACCTGGATGAATGAGCTTTGACAGATCTGACCTACCTTTAAGGCAGTTTTTCTTAGGTTTGAGATGGCTTTGTTGTTTTCAGGCTAGCCCAGGCCATCAGCATTGTGTATGGAAAGGCTTACTCCTGCAGAAAATACCTATCCCAGAAGCCTTTTTATCATTATCAGAAGGACCTGTGTCACTCACCCTGACATTCACCTCTATGCACCCCGAATGCCTTAGTCCTTTGCCTCTGTTCTTCACGGTGCTGCTGTAGATATGAAGCAATACCTGAGTCAGACTATCTTCCACCAGCACCAAGCAGTGAAAGGAGGCTAACTTGGCTTCCAGCTCCAAGTAGAGGAATGCCAGTTCTCAGAAACTGGCAACTCTTGCCTGAGATAGCCTTCAAAGAAAAGGCTCCTGCAGCCTTTCCCTGGCAGAACACATTTCTGGTTTGTTTAAAGATTCAGACCTTACCTTTTTAGATCAGTCTCATAGCTATCAGGATATTAAAAAAAGGTTTTCCTACAGCTGCATTTTAAAGGAAGCAGCCATGTGTTCCTTTGTGAGAAATGCAATCCTGAAAATACCAACAGCAACATGAATATGAGTCAGCCAGGAGGGCCAACCATGTCCTGGGGGGCATCAGGCAAAGCATTGCCAGCCCGTCAAGGGAGGGGATTGTCCTGCTCTGCTCTGCACTGATGTGGCCTCACCTTGAATACTGTGTGCAGTTTTGGGCACCACAATAAAGGAAAGATATTAAGCTATTAGAGAGCATCCAAAGGAAGGCAACAAGGATGGTTAAGGGTCTGGAGAGGAAGCTGTATGACCATGGCTGAGGTCACTTGGTTTGGGAAGAGGAGACTGAGACCTTATCGTGGTCTTCAACATCCTCACGAGGGGAAGCAGATGGGCAGGTAATGATCTCTTCACTCTTGTGACCGGTGACAGAACTCAAGAAAATGGCATAAAGCTGAGTCAGGTGAGGGTTGGGTTGAATATCAAGAAAAAGTTTTTCACCCAGAGGGTGATTAAGCACTGGAACAGCGGAACAGGCTCCCCAGGGAAGTGGTCACAGCACCAAGCCTATCTTCAGTTCAAGAAGCATTTGGACAATAATCTTGGGCACATGGTGTTACTCTTGGGAATGGTCCTGTGCATGGCCAGGAGCTGGACATGATGGTCCTGATGGGTCCCTTCCAACTCAGTATGTTCTATGATTCTATAAATCCTAACCCCAAACCTAATTTCTGAAACCAAATCTTGATATAAACATGAATTGCACACTTTGCAGCTCAGAAGTCTTAATAGAACAGTTTTTAGTAGGCAAACAAAAATTTAGGCAGCAAGACACTTTTTGTATCAAAAAACATGACCACCTTTGAAGTTAAAAGCGAGTGAAGGTGAGATAAGTGGCATGATGACAACATCATGCAGTAGTTTAGAGACCATCTCTCTCACATGTATTCTGAGTACTTAGAAGAGGTAAATAAGAAATCTTCTAACAGTCATGAGAATCTGAATCTCATTGGATCAGGAGAGCAGGCAATTCCCTACTGAAGGTATTTATTTTCTTTGTAAATGAATCCCTGAGCCCATCACCATAATTGCTGCCAGGTGCAGATTAATGTGTCATTTAACTTCCAGAATGCTACAGACCTCAGCTGGGAAATGAATCTCATCTCTGTTTCTGATGATCACTCAGTGTTAGCAGAGCAAATAGCTTTCATTTGTATTGAACAAGACTGACAAGCTGGAGCCATGGTCAGTGCAATAGAGCACTGCTGACAGATAAGACTCTACCCAATGCCCATTGCTAAGGTAACATTGAACAGCCACAGGTAGCAGAGCTGTTGGCTGTTGGTCATCCCTCAAAATCAGTGGATTAAAATCAAAGAAAGAATCACTTACTAGGTAGCTGTGTTTATAAGAGGAACCCCAATGAATAACTACAGATGCATATAAAAATAGACTGGTTCTAGAGAATCTTTGAGCATCTAGAGCTTTCCCTGTTCTAAATGGTTAAAAAACTATGCCTCACTAAATGCATTTATCTTGATAGCCTTGTTTTCTTCTGTCTCTTTACTACTCTCTTCTTGGTGTAAAAGATAAGGATCAATGTGCACAGGCTATATTGCTGGTCTCAGTCAGCTTCATATTAATCAGTCTGGACAAGGTATCAGTAGACCACTACTATGACTTCTTATAACAGGAGTTCCTTAAATTTCTGAAAACGCAACTTATCTTTCCTCATATTGTCTTCTGGTCTGAGAACAAGCTGGTTTCTGAAGGGCAGAGGAGTGAAAGCAGGCTGTAACTCCTGCTGCAGAGGTTATTCTCAACCCTATCTCTGGAGGCCAGGAGCTGCTTTCAGCTACCCAGCTGTAATGTAAACACTTGCAGCTGATAATCACAATCAATTCTCAATCTCTTGCCTTGAGAAAACTTGCCTGTTGTTAACTTTTGCCATCCAACACTTAGCAAGGCCTTTGCACTGTCCTTTCAAGGCCTCACTGCTTATAAGCACATCATGACTCACTGAGAAACTCATCTATAGATGATAAATTTTCAGGCGATATTATTATTGCTGTGACTATATGCCAATTGTAACAGGACTGTGTGCCCCAGCATGGGCACAAGATAGAAATAAATATTTAGCTGAATGTGAAGAAAATTTTTGCTATCAAGTACAAAAAACGTTGAAAAGATAAGGGATACTGACACAGTTGTCTAATGAGCAATGACAGCTTGTATATACCAGCTCTTCTGCAGATTCAGGGCAGAAATTTATTGAGACTTTTAGTGTTTTTGTGTAATGGTGTACATACATACTCTACCTTGAGAAAATGCTGTCTCTGGTATTAGGATTATCCTCACTGTGACTCCAGAAATGTGTGTAGCACTATGATGGCATTAACCAAGATACACATTCAGTACTTATCACTGAATACTTACTTTCTGGCAGCTCTCGATGAATTCATCTATGGTAACTACCCCATCTTTGTTTTTGTCCATTTTCTGTTAAAAAAAATAAAATGTACATTTTTCCTCCTGAAATCCTATGTAAAACAAGTCCTTTTTATTATTTGTTTCGGTTATATGTCAGCCTAGGAACAACCATGCCAAAAGATGTAGTAAGTGATATACTGGAATGAGCTTCAGGAGCTTATTGTTGAAAAAGCAAGGTGTAACAAGTAGATCC